TCTTATTTTATATTTTATATTTTATTTTAAATAAGTTTTTGGAACTTATCTTATATTTTTTATTTTGAATAAATCGCATCAGTTATTTTATCTTGCATATAATACAGAAGAAACGAGCATACAATGGATACTCTTGGCAATAGAACATGTGGTCGATACATGCTTTTATCTCCTGAACGTGTGGCGGTTTCGCGAGATTGCAATTATCGTGTGCCTCTCCCGTGGTTCTCATTTCTCTTATGTCAATACCGTGGATCTGAGAATCGAACATATTCATAGAAGTGATTGTTGAGCTGATAATTATTACCTCGCACGATTACTAAGTTAACTTCTTATCTTCGCGATTTTAATTTCTTACCGTGATTTCTTCAATGAAATAGAGAAATTCGTGCACTGAAAGAACGGTTATATTGAAGTATCTAACATTGTAGGTAGATAAAGATCTGAAAATAATTTTGTTGGATCATCAAAATAATTATGTAGAACGCTCAAAATCTTTTGTAGCATTACCCTGTTTGGGTAAAAAGTTAACTTAGCAATCGTTACATCGTGCGACGTAAACAAATTTATTTTTCAGATTTATATTTAAACAAATTTTTTAATACTTCAGCAAAACTGATTTTTCTATGAAATAAATCATTATAATTTATTACAGTATAGATTAAAGTAACTTCACTAAAAGAAAAATATTTTTAATCTCATTTGCAGTACTCTATAAACATTCGACAAACTAAATATTTTGCATGACTTCAAATTAAAAAGACTTCAATTTAAAAAGTTAAAAAGTACGCGGATAGCTATTGTGATATCATAAATCATTGTCGCGATCATGTCGATTCCATCTCAAGATAGCAGTGTGAAAGGATCGCGGGAGGCTTAGAGTTACACATTTCTCAGCTATCAATTTGTCGATTATAATAACTTAATTTTGCGATGAGAATCCAGCACGTCAGACCGGATTGATGAATAACGGGGCCTTTCTTTGTAGAATAATTTATTTTCATAGACTCGAGGATGCCGCTGTTCAAGGCGCGAACCACGCCGAGATCGCCGGTAACGGAGAAGGCTGCAAATGGTATGCAGTATTACAACTATCAGCATCATCAGGCCGGCAATGACAATGGTCATGACAACGACACGAATGGTAACGGTACTAGTAGCCGATCGGGGAACGGTGCTCCTCCTCTTCAACACGAACAGACGAGATCGCCACCCCGAGACCCGCGGCCATCGACGCTGGTTTTCCACTGCCAACTGGCCCATGGCAGTCCCACAGGACTGATATCGGACTTCAGCAATGTCCGGGAACTGTACCAGAAAATTGCCGAACGTTATGACCTACCCGCGGAAGAGGTGAGCGCGAAGACTCCGATAAATGCCATGAAATAGTTGAGACTTTCTTATCGAGAGAAGAAAGGATTCGTTAAATCATTGTATCGAAGGACTGAACGTCGTTAATTCGTTGAGCTGTTTCTTTGGAGATAGAATTGGTTGTTAGGCGTTGAAACTTATAAGCTGGTATAAATTTAAATTATAATCTTGCTCTTGTTTTAAGATAGTCTCAGATTGTGTTTCAAAATTTTACAGCCAGTACTAAAAGTCTATAGTTTACGTCACATGTATTATGGATTTTCAGAACTAGGAGTAAATTTTGAAGCACAGCCTCAACAAAGGAGAATGAATTGAAATGAATTCAGAAATGGAGATTCAGATTTTCAGAAATATTGATTCACGAATGTTAAAATGAATGCTTTTCTTCTGAATGCATTTTTGTTTATTTATAGGAATTGCATGGAGCATATTTCTATGTCTTTCAATCTAAAAATAATATTAGCTTTTTCTGTGCACACAAACACAATTGCGAATACTGTTTAATTCCAAATTTTGAATAGGAAATACAGTTTTTCAATCCAATTACATCCGTTTGAATTTAATTGAATCCAATTGAATCTAATCAAATCCAAAAAAAATATTCGCTATTTAAAATACGCATTCGAATAGAAAAAAATTTCAATCCATTTTAATCTATTCTCATTTACTGGGTCTTGAAACATAATAGATGTAGTAAGAGTAAACCATGTGGTTCTGCAATAAAATATTAAGTATCATATTTTAAGATGCTAAAATCGCTTTGGGATCAGTTTGTAATTTGTAATTGATTTACATCTTAAGACTTAAGATGTTTAACTCCAAGTACGTAGTAAGTAGATATTTGGGTTATTCGTGTCTGCATTTCTTTACTTTGAAATTATATTAAGAACAATTTGCTAAATAGACTCTATTCTTTCCTTTTTTTTAATACACAACTTTATTTTAAATACTTTCTAAAGATGTTAATGTATATGTAAGAATCTGCGAAATGCTGTGAAATGTAGGCAAAATTACGCGAGTCCTCCTTTACATTTGGAGAAATCGGCAATGCAGGACGGTGACTTAATGGTAATGGAGCTACTCGGAATGGAAACGGCTTGGTTTCCAACGCAAAGCATCCCACGTAGGGAGAAACGACACCGGACGCAGGAAGCGCCGGTCACGGACCGTGGCCTCTCTCTCGTCGACCTGGCGGATATGTCTCGACTAGATGAGAGAGAAAGAGGAGAGAGCCATGTGTAATTCATCGTATAAATGCGGTCGTCGCGATGTAACCAGGTCGCTCGTCGACTTGTTATGGGTCGCTTGAACGTGAGGGATTTAGCTTCTCTCGCAATCTCTCTAAGCTAAATAAATCATCGTAGCACCATGCTGTATCGCAATGATGGTCGAAGGGAATTGAGAAAATAAATTTGGATGTAATTTAAATTTTACGAAATGTTTGCAATAAAATTTAAATCAGACATCAAAATTAAATTGGTTAAATTGTCATGAAGGAATAATATTAAATCTAAAGCGAAGATGACATTTTTAATAAAAATATATTTAATTTTTCGCCGGCAACATATAAAAAATAAATTTTAAATAAATTTTTCTGTCAACAATCAGGGTCTTCGAGAAACAGAGCAAATTTTTTATTGTTTCGGATTATATAAAAATCTGAAAAAATTCTAATCAAAGTTTTAACGAGTTTTTACTTAGTTTTTACATAGTTTCATCATAGAAGTCGAATTATATTTTACTTATTTTTTACGGATTCAAATTTATTTGCCAAAATTCACAATCAAAATATTGATGTTCCTTTAAAAACCCCAAATGAAAAGGGATTAATAATATACATAAAGATGAACAAATTAAATAGAAGTTACCCTTACTCCTCCACCATCTCCCAAATTTTACTTTGTAAAATTTGGGAGATGATGGAGGAGTAAGGGTAAGTTATATTCAAATGTTGAAAATAAAATAAGATTTGACGTTCCAGATTCTTTTTTGCACACTCAACACGCACAAAGTGGACATGACGGAGCTATTAGGCGGGCAAATCGGCGTGGGCGACTTCATATTCGCACATAAGAAAGGTTACTATGCATTATACTTTCTTGCAATTAGAAAGCACAGGTTGCATGAAGCAGATAAAAAATAATTAATGCATTTTCGGTACAGGCCAACCGAAAGAAATCGAGTTGGTGAAAACGGATGACGCTTTGGGTCTGACGATCACTGATAATGGTGCCGGCTACGCTTTCATAAAACGTATAAAGGAAGGTTCTGTGATTGACAGGATAAAGGTGATTGAAGTGGGCGATCATATCGAAAGGATTGATTCGACCAGCCTCGTTGGCAGGCGGCATTTTGAGGTAGCGAAGATGTTGAAAGATATACCGAAGGGTTCAACGTTCACGCTGAGGCTAGTGGAGCCGCAGAAGAACGGTTTTGGTAGCATCGGACCGCGTGGTGATCTCAAAAAAGGAAAAAAGTCTGACTATGGATCCGGCAAGGAGACTTTGAGATTCAAAGCTGATGGTAGCGCACAAATCGTAGAGCAGGTGTGTAAAATAGAAACAATGGCAGATTCAAGTAGTGAACTCGTAAGATAAATAAATAGTTTTATCGGGAATAACATTTCTCTAATAATATTAATCTTTAAAAATGATGAATAAAACAAATATTAGTTTCCTGTGTTATGAAATATTTGAATTATCTAGATATCATATACACACTTTGATATTATATATTTTATATCACATATTACTTTGATATACTGCTTTTCCCAGTTGAATGAATAGTTGAGAACATTGAGCGATAATTAAAGTAAATATTTGCGTAGATTGATGATGCTGCTGCGATAGGCGTCCAGAAGATTAACACTATCTTGGAAAGCTTCATGGGCATCTCCGATACGGAGTTAGGTAAGTTCAACTCAAGGAACGTATTAAGTAAAGAGAAAATCAAAATGATTTTATTTTAAAATAGAGATATTATCTTAAAGAATTATATTAAAAAAGAATTTATTATTAAATAAATTCTTTCTCTTTCTTTTGTATTAAAGCATCGATCTTAATTTCCTTGTTATAACGAAATAATTCTGTTCATTCAAGTCGATATCGATGTCCCTATAAAAAAAAGAAGCGTGAAAATTAAATGATAATTAAAATGATGATTTTTGGTTACAAAATTTGACTTTTATTGATGTTAAGAATAAAAATAAAGTCATTTTGATTTTTTGTTAGCTTTTATGTGTTCCTTGAGAATAGCATATAGGTAACAATTTAAATAAACATATACACTAAAAAAATGTTTTGGTTGTACAAACAAGAAGTATAAAAGTACGAATTCTGATTATATGAATTAGAATTCTGGTTACTATAATTGAATTTTTAATTATCTTGATTAGATAGATTTAATTGTAAATGTCTAATTTACAAGTGTCTAATATACATTCTGAATCTACAAGAATTCCAATTAATATGCGACAACAAGACTTTTTTAGTATAGTTTTATTGATGAATTTTTGAGTCTCTATTTTATTTTAAAATTGATATTCGATTGTTATCTGATTTATTACAGCGACACAAATCTGGGAACTTGCCGAGGATAAATGCAACAGTATAGACTTTGCCGAAGCGATAGACAACTCCGACTTGGAGGACTTCGGTTTTACTGACGATTTTGTGATCGAATTGTGGGGCGCTGTGACGGATGCCAGAGCGGGCCGGCATCGATGACGAGAGGATCAACAATGTAATGAAAAAAACATGTCCAACAAAATGTCGAACAATGAAGTGATGAAATTATCTATGAACGAAGTGTTCTTCTGATTGAAGAAGATGACGTTCATTTATTCTCGTGTTACCGTAATCCAGAGGCCTACACGTGGGCGCATGTTTAGCGTCAATCGTGATTACATTTCTCTTTGAACAATTTTATTTAAAAAATAACTGCGTTCAGCAAAAAAAGCAGCTTTTAAAATTCTTTAATATGATTTATACATTTAGATCCAGTGAGGAACTAAGAACAAAAAAGAATAATTAAAATTAAAGAATTAATTTTACGATAGTTGTAAAGTTGCTTTTTCTGCTGAACGTAATCAACGAATAATTTGATTTACGAATGTTCCTCAAATGAATCGAGCTGTTGGCGTATTCGATCCTAGATGCGTGGTAAAGATGTAGGCTAAAATCTACAATATACTCCGTAATAATCATATCATACACTGTGTCATATGGCAAGAGCGTAGCAATTCAAATTGGAAAATAGAGGACAATGAAAGGTAATACTTTATAGATTGCGCAGAAAATCAATGACAATATTTTCGATATTATTCGAAAGATATTATCTTAAAGAACTGTATTAAAAAAGAATTTATTATTGTAAATTCTTTCTCTTCTTTTGTATTAAAGCACGGATCTTAATTTCCTTGTTATAACGAAACGTTCTGTTCATTCAAATCGCTATAAAAAAAAGACGCAGAAAATATCTGTTAGTGATTATTATATATTATTAATTATTCGAACGACAGCGTAAATATGCTGATTGGTATTATCAAATGACGTTATTGCGTTGGTATCGCGTGATATCAATAATATTATTGTAACATGAACTGTATTAGTATTCATTAGTATCAACCCAGGCAACAGGCATGTCTAGAAGACATCTCAAAGATGTTTTTAGTTTGATAAAGAATGTTAATGAAAATTAAGGACGTCAAACTTGTCTTTTCAATTATTTGATAAGTTAATTATATATAATAATTATAAAACGTCTTGATATCTTATAAGACATTTTAATGTAACTCGGAGGAGCATTCGGATTATAGCGATAAGAATGGATTAATATAATATTTTAATACATATTTAAGTTCATACAATATGATCACAAAATGCGAGAAATTATTATATTCATTTTCGAGAAATAAAGTCTTTATAATAAAGGCTTCATCTTCATTGATTTCACACGAATAAATATTTATTATGAAACCAAACATCTTGAAGACTATTTATAGAATGTATATCACCATTATAAAGGTTGATGTTCGCTATCTAAGATAACGAAGGTAGGAAAAATCTTTTGTTGAAACACATATAAAAAACAGATCCAAATAGAATACAGAAATGAGGATATTATCATGACCTCATTTGTCACTTATAAGTCAATTTTTAGATATCAAATGACGTCATGATGATGTTCTGTGATATAATTATGACTCTGTGTTCTATCTGACCTCTCTAATTCACTTTAGCATTATTACGCAAGAATTTCAATAATTTTGCGTTTATTAAAAACATGTAATATTGTATTTTATAAATTCTTATACATATTAAATATAACATATGATTAAATATATTATATAATATAATATACTATAAATAAGAGTACCTTTTGGAGTTTTCATGTTGCAAATACTGGTCCACGACATTTTTTGTGTATCTTTATACAATGAATTAATTAATTGTCTGTCTATTGATATTTCAGATAAAATAATTCTTGAGAAGTTATGTGGAGATCTTATATTAAGAAACGCAATTAAAAAAAATAAGAAGATATATGTATTTGTATTATCAAATCGTTCCTTTTTTAGATCAATATCTAATATCTGCATAATCGTTTGAAAGCTGATGTCCTCGCTACAAAACGGCGTAAATACGATAAATACGTTTTCTATCAGAGTCGTATTTCACGATAAAGCCTGCGTAGAATATTTCCGTGCCTCAAAAAAGAAAAAGAATGAAAAATATGGCTAATTATAATTAATAAAAAAACAATTTGATAGATAAAAACAATTAAATTAATATTGTTTATATTGTTTACAAAAATAATGCCATAATAATACTAGTAATTTGTGAAATTTTATTTCTGAAATTCTAAGTATAATTATATGTAATTTAAATAAAATACTAACGCACGCTAACATCAGCTGTTAAAAGTGCGTTCTAATATGAGCTTTAAACTCGAAATCTCCTCCTCTTAAAACTGTTTCTTGAGCTTTCTTTGTACTCTTCCCTATACTTTGATTTCCGATGCAATCATGTCATGAGTCAAAGTCCCATTTTTTAAGCTTTAATACAGATTAATACGTTCCTGATCGCATAATTTTAAATTGAAATGTCGGCGCGCGTTCCGTTCTGTCCAGTCACCGTCCGTACTTCCATGTGTGAGCTGTTAGTGAGAGGTTAGGTTTCGCAGATTTCCGCGGCGCGAAGTTCCTTAACAATTGTTGCGAGACGATATTTCGGCACGTCGAGACTGATTACAACGAAAAGACGAAAGACACGATCAAGATAAATAATAAGATATTTATTCCGAGAAGAATTGATGAAGTAATATCGAAGCAGATAGCGTTAAGCTCGAGCTTAATCTCCGACGGACTCATATACGTCTTACGAATAACAATTGTGTATTTAGTCTACGGTGACTATGGCATTCGCATTGAGAGGGGTCAGCGGTGTATTTCTGCGTTGGAGCAGCGGCCCTCGGGGTGCCATAAAAGTATCACGGGTGCGTAAACAGCTCTCTATTTATCAGACGTACGTATAACCGCCTGAAAGAGTTATCTTAATTTTCTTTGTTTTCAGTGATGTTGCAATATACATTTTAAATAAATTTAAATTGTGCATTACATGTTTGGCGTATAATTAATTATTTTAAGAAACTGCTATTTGTTTAATGATTTGTTATTTTAATGTAAATCGTCGATTTTTAAAAATATTTTTATATACTTTTGTATTTCTGAATGTATATCTTATTTCTCATTTTTGCAATTATTAATATAATGCATTCTTTAATTTTTGAAGGTATATTTTAAAATATTTTTTAGGCAGATCTAATTTAAATTTCATTTAACAGGTATGCACAGTTAATTTCTCCATCAAAGCTGATATCCCAGAAGTGGAGGAGGAGATTGAAAAGCTGAAAACACCAGTAGGAAATGGTAAAATCTTCAAAAATATAGAGGAAGCTGTGTCTGATGTACATGATGGAGCCAAACTTTTGGTTGGTGGATTTGGTCTTTGTGGCATTCCAGAAAATTTAATAGCAGCTATATTAAAAAAAGGTTCAAAAGATCTAACATTAGTTTCGAATAATGCTGGGGTAGAAGACTTTGGGCTGGGTATATTGCTGAAGGAGCACAGAGTCAAAAGGATGATTGCATCGTATGTGGGAGAAAATTCTGAATTCGAAAGGCAGTATCTTAGTGGTCAATTGGAAGTTGAATTAACACCGCAGGTAATGCTTTAAAAATAAGGAAAGGTACATCATAAATCTCATAAATTGTTACAAATCGAATAACGATTATTACTTACTTAGGGCACTTTGGCGGAACGTGTAAGAGCAGGTGGTGCTGGTATTCCAGCTTTCTATACTCCCACAGCTTTTGGTACCATTGTACAGGAGGGCAACGTCATCGTAAAATACGACAAAAACGGCAAGGCCGAGATATCGGGTGAGCCGAGGAACGTGAATCAGTTTGATGGACGAAATTATGTTTTGGAAACCGCCATCACTGGCGACTTTGCACTTGTGAAGGCGTGGAAGGCCGACACTGCCGGCAATCTAATTTTCCGGAAATCGGCGAGGAACTTCAATCCTGTGATGTGCAAGGCGGCCAAAGTAGCAATCGTCGAAGTAGAGGAGATTGTGGAACTTGGTCAATTAAATCCTGATCACATTCATTTACCTGGTATTTTCGTAGACAGGATTGTGAAGGGGTCACGTTATGAAAAACGGATTGAGGTTGGCGCTTATTTACTTTAATTAATAATCGTTATGCATATTTAATTATATATAATTTATGTAAATGTTTTAAATAATATAATTAATTATATTAAATAATAATATAATTTTTTTCTGCAGAAACATTCGACGAAACAAACCATAAAGCCTAAGAAAGTGACACCGGCTAGTAAAGCAAGGAATATGATTATCAGGCGCGCTGCCCTCGAATTTAAGGATGGAATGTATGGTAGGTTTAAAATAATTTGTTAAACAAAAATAAAATAATAAAATAATTTGTAAAACACTTGAATTGGAGATACTCTGAGAGATTTTGAATGAAATAATCAAATTTCTCATCAATGTATTTAAATCGAAAATTTTTACAGCAAATTTGGGAATCGGTATGCCTATGCTTGCTAGTAACTACATCCCGAAGGATGTAAAAGTGACATTGCAATCAGAAAATGGTATTCTTGGATTGGGTCCTGTTCCGGATGAAGATGACGTCGACGCGGATCTTATCAATGCTGGAAAAGAAACTGTAACTGTTTTGCCCGGCGCTGCTTTCTTTAGTAGTGATGAGAGCTTCGCAATGATTCGAGGGTTTGTATATAATTATTTATATAGATTAATTATTAGCATGTTTTTTTCACGACAAATATTAAAATATATTCAAAATAAACAAGTTTAATAATTATATTTTTTTACATTCACAGAGGTCATATTGATCTGACTATTCTTGGAGGCATGCAAGTGTCGGAGAACGGAGATTTAGCTAATTGGATGATACCGGGTACGATGGTAAAAGGCATGGGTGGTGCCATGGATCTTGTTTCCGCGGCGAGCACGAAGGTAGTGGTAACTATGGAACATACAGCTCGTGATGGAAGTCCAAAAATTTTGAAGAATTGCACTTTGCCTGTCACAGGTAAAAATCAGTGATACTTAAATTTTTTTTATTTTGCCTATAATAAGAAGTAAAATAAGAAAATAATTTATTATTGATTAATATACTTTAAAAGTAATTATTTTCTAATATTTTTGTATTTCTAGTTACTTTATGCAATAATTTTTGTTCTTTACAGGTCAGCAATGTGTAGATTTAATTATCACAGAGCTCGGAGTATTTGAAGTAGTGAAAGGAGAAGGATTAAAACTTATTGAGATCGCACATAATGTCGATATTAGTCAGATCATCAGTTCAACGGATTGTGAATTCAGTGTTGCCGATGATCTTAAGGA